TAATAATTAATAATCAAGAATTAATAATTACTAAATATAAAAAGAGATATAAAAAAGAATATCAAAAATTATGTATCCAAAAAAAGGTCAATGAAAATTTTTAATTAATCTTTTTAATACTTTCAAAAATAATTATTCATATATGGATTTTACAATTTTAATTTTATAATTAAAAAATTAACAATTAAGAAAATTAAACTTTTAATAAAAATATAATAAATGAACTAATATATATCATATATTATTTTTATTTTTTATTAAAAAATAAAATATAATAAGTGAACTAATATATGTCATATATTATTTTTATTTTTTATTAAAAAATAAAATTTTAAAATACTATGTATAATAATATTAATTTATAGTAAATTAATTTTTAATTAATATTATATTATCAATTATTTATTTAAAATAAAATTACTTGATTAAAAATAATATGAAATAAATATTAAAAAATAATGGATATATAAAAATAAAAATTTTTATTATTATAATAAACAAAGTAAAATAAAGTAAAAAATTTAATTTTTTTATTTTTTAATTTATAATATTTTATTCTAATATTTTGTTTAAATAAAAATCAATTAAAAGATATTAATCTAATATTATAAATGATAATAAAAAAAGTAATTACTTCTTTTTGAAATTTGAGTAAATAATATCAAAGAAATATTAATAAATAACTTCTTTTCATAAGATATATTATAGAATTAAAATTAGTTAATATTATTAATGTTTTTTATTTTCTTATTAACTACTATATATTGTATTAACTATTTAATTATTAGATAAATATATTTACTTTTAGAGTAATAATAATCTATTTAAATCAATTATAATAAATTATTAATCTGTATATATATAAAAATATATAGTTTATACAAGATACAGTAATTGATATTAAGTAAAATTTTATTGTTAATAAAATCCTGATATCAATTATAGTTATAAAAAAATAAAATTTTATTTATTTAAAATAATTCTTGTTTTATATTATTATATAAAATTTTATTTATTTGAAATAATTTTTATTTTATATTATTATATAAAATTTTTTCATTAGTTTAAATTAGTTTAAAATTAAATTTTTATTTTTAAAAAAAAATCACAATAAATTTATTTATTATTTAAAAAGTATTATTAATAGATATTGAATTATATTTTTTTTTTATCAATTAAAAAAAATTTTTTTTTAAATAAAATTAGAAAAAAAAATATTTAAATATATTAAATGATAAATCAATCTATATAAAAATAATATTTTATTTAATTATTTCGTTATAAATAAAGTAAACATGTTTTTAATCTATTTTAATTATCATTAATAATAATATAAAAACAAATATGTTAATTCATTTATTTTTATAATTATGTTGATGTTATTTTAACTTCTCTTTGTACCTATAATAATCATAAATTAATTTTATATATGATTTTTTAAACAAACATAATATACTGTATATAATAAAAGGTAATGGTAAATCTTCTCCTGAAAACACTCCTTATACGATATAGAATCCTTAAAACTACCTCCTAAATTCATACGTGACATTTATCATATTGTTCCAGGAGGAATTCATCTAAAGAAGGTTCTCTATGATCCCTATTTCTTCGAAACTTAATTCTTTCCCCATTCATGGTTTTCCGAAATTTTTCAAAAAACCCTTACAAAAATTTTGTAAAACCTCACCCCTTGCGGATTATTTTCTTTCTTTCCGAATGATTAACGTGACTCGGTAAAACTTTGTCGCAAAAGAATAATTATGTTTGTATCTTACATTTTACATGTTAGGTAATAAACCATTTTTTGGCACTCAAATGGTTTCTATGAGCAAAGAAGATTTTATTTTTTTTTTTCTTTGTCAATATGACAAAAACAAAAGATATACAGTATATATATATATATATATATTATAATACAGTAATGTAAAAAGAATGATAATAAATACATACAATTCCTCAGGAATATCGGAGAATTGAATGGAAGGCTGCGACTTCGTGTGAAGAACTCGTCCATCGAAGATTTAAAGAGTTTTCTATTTCTAATGACCCAATCTATTCTCTAAATGGTATTAACAAGAAAAAAAATATATTATAAACAGGCTGGCACATACAAAAATAAAAAAAAATCTCTAAATATTTAAATAGTTGGAATTATTTAATATCTGCGACTAATGTTTATCCTCCATATACGAAATTATAAAAAGTTTTCCATCATCTCCTGAAATCCACAGTTGACGATTATTAACACTCAGTTTTATGCTCCTACCGATTAGTGGTATCTCATAATCGTGCAATAAGTTCAAACTGGTAGTCGAAGTAGAAACAGAGTTAAGGAAAATTAATTGACGATTCAACAAACCTCATTATGAAAAGACATACCTGAGCGCATCATAAACACCAATTCGTCCTCTATCACTGGAAGTAACAATTAGGTCCTTCTTATTTGACGAAATCATGTGATTTAGCTTTTCGTTTATCCTCGCGAAATTTAGAAGTCTTCCATTAATGCTGTACGTGTGGAGAAAGTATTGATCCTAGGCGAACAACAATCAAAAAAACAAGATGTGAACGGATAATTTGAAGAGAAATTGAACGATAACGAAGTTAAACCAAATTTACATTTAACTCCGTGTATATAACAATATTTGCGTCCTTAGTGATGCAGACGAATTCGATACTCGACTCATCATCTGCTATTGGCCGTAAAGTGCGTATGTAATTTGCATTTCTCAATGAATGTACGATACACGTTCTATCCTAAGTTGACGGTAAAATGCAAGAAATCATTAGCAAACATCTTTCACACTCAACAACCGTTCGTACAAACCTTTGATCCGCTTATCAAAATATCATGCTCGGCATTCACCACAATGCAATTAATCTGTGATGGCACGGATTCATTTCGTAAATCACAAAGTTAGTCATCAATATTGAAACATCTTTCTTTAACAAAAACCAACCTCGTCGTCGTGACCGTAATATGCTTGCATCGGAACTGGTTCAACCTCTAAAAACTCATTGTCATGTGTAAGGTTGACTTTCCATGATAATAAGTTTGAACACCTCGATCCAGATACAACAATTCTCCCATCCTCGCTAATTGCCACTGCTGTCACGATATCGTCATGTCCGGATATTGACGCGACTGTTCGACTAGTTTCAGTATTGGAAACCTTGAATGTGTTGTCCCAATGTCCAGCACTCATCACAACTTTGCCATCTTTACTACACGCAAAACATCTTGGTGTAATCACTGAATCGTGACAAAATGGTGTACCAAATCGACTGTTTTATATATATATATAAAGGTAGGGAGGAATAAATTTTATTAGAAAACAGACAGATGAAACATGGAAAAAATGGGTAGAACGCGATTCACCTTTTATATTGTAACACAGGATCTACCTCAACCGTGAAAGGTATGTCAGGTGCCATTGACTTATATAACAGCTGATGGCTACCTATTATTCCATTCTCATCGACCGTAATAATCCTTTGTGTATCAACTGTCGAAAATTTTTCAACGCTGTCGGGATTTGGCAAGTCGGAAAATTGCAATTTCCCGCATTTCAATTCTACAACAAATCTTTGATGCATACCGTTCGAATTCAAAAGATCTTTTTTTAAAAAATTTTTACTAGGGAATCTTTGCGGATGTGGTTTGGTCATTAGTTGCGTGGGGGTTTGACCGAAATGATAAATCTGTTGCTCCATACTCTTTCTCTCCACGGGATCTTGTATGTTGTCGATGTTTATGGCGCCTTCATAGGTCAGGTAATAAAATACATTGTGTGCTTTTACTGCTTCTTCGCCGGTTTGCTTGTATCCGAATATAAGATCTGAAATTTAATTTCGACGTCTCAATTAGGAAAATATTTGAGATCCCATAAAGAAACGAAAGAAGAAAGGGAAAGAGAAGAAATAAAAAAAAAATAAAAAAAAAAATAATATGAAAAGTTACCTATCCAATGATGCAAATTTTCCGACACATAATCTGACTCCAAGGCTTCACGATGAATTCGAATAAATTCTTCTGGGGTGCTTGCCCATTTTGGCAACCCGACATTACTAACCCGAACACCGTCTTGTCTTACCTGTGCATCAGTTAACAAATCGTCAGAGAGGAGAAATAATTATTGATAGAAAACCTATTTCAAAAATATGTGATACTAACGCCAAGATCGAATCCATTGTGGTTCGTCAAAAATTCTGGCAAATAAAAGAATTCGGGTATCAATTCTCTCACATCCCCGCTAGCATTAAGGCACGCCTGCCATGTGTCTTGAAGTGAATGAAACTGCCGATCCGCATGATCAAATTTTCCACCTTGTAATGAGATGTGTACCGAAGTGAATGGCTCCATCCGTATCAGATAACATGCAACAGTCGCTGCGCTCGAATAATGAGTTCCATAATGCAAACTTCTTTATTCTCCCCGACGGATCATCAAAACTTTCATATCGATCAATAAATTGTTCCAATCTTACTGGATTCAAGGCACCAATGGGTTTTGATAGATCTCGATATATTTTTGGATCCGATAGATCCAAGGTTTCCGACTTGTAATCACTTATAATCCATGGAAACACGAAATACTGCGTCAAATCATTAAACGATCGCCCTGCCATGCTGTTGAGATGCATAAGGTATTCAAAGTTCGAAATTTCGTGCCTCTGCCACCGCTCAGTCAAATTTGATCGTTGGAATATCGTGATAGGCGATCGAGTGTCTTGGTTTAACATCGACGGAGGCTTCAGTGAAGTTATCTTGTTAAACAATCGTAACCGATCTTTTGGTTCGGGAAAATTAAAAAAATAATTCGTTTGATCCGTTAAGAATAATTCAAAGGCACTTCGTCTCAATAAATATTTTCTCATGTGAATTTCACGAATTTCCGAAATTGTCCATTTCTTGTCTCTCAACATTTCACTGTCTACTATTAGAGATCCTTGTTCTATATTATTAAGCTCTTGTAACAGGTTCCTCCGATCCACCAGAAACGATAGGTGAGTTGACGTCAACTCAAGTCGACCTTTTATGACCGACAGTAGTACTATCATCTCGCACTCTACAGTGAATAGATTTGAATTGGAAGAGAGATCAACGGTGTCCACCACTTCACCATTGTCAACGATATTCCACTCCTGATCATCTGACTCCAAACTTTCAGATTCGGAGATCAGAGAGGAACCCGTGAATCCCCATGAATCCGTCCAGGGTTCCACGGCATTAAGGATTGGCGTCGTAGAGCGTCCGGATTCTGGAATAGCAGCCTTTTTTATCCTTTGAATATTTATGTTCTTGGACTTCGAAGTGGAATTCGCGATGGGAGTCTTATCTCTCTTGGCGCTGGCATCTCTGTGCGCATCGTAGTCATAATTTATGGTCAACTTTCGGCGCATCCGTGAATAATTTTCCCTTCGATCCAACTTCCAATGAATATCTGTCTGACGTCCTAACGACCAAATCCCACGTTCTTGGGTCAATTCATGAAATTTTGATAGCCATCTCCTGGAAATTCTCAAATCTTCATTCCTCTTCTCTACTTCAAAACTAGTGAGACGCGCGGTCTCTTCATCCCTATACGCCTTAATGATTGCGTTCAAATCGTTGTCAAACGTGTCTTCGGATTTCAGAGAAAACAAATCCTCTTTCCTAGAACGGCTTATATAATTGTCAATCTTT